CCTACCTGCCCCCCCCCCCCTTCCTTCCGCGCGGTTTGTAACACGACACGATCTCGCTCACAAGGCTGTTGCAAGCAGCTCCTTGTAGCTTTTAGGGCCGACCGACTTTCCTCGTAATTTTTTTCATAATGGTGCTGCAACACGATGATTAACGTTGCTGGTGGGTGCTGTTGTGATGAAAAATAGGGAGACTACTTTCCTCACCAAGCAGCCGGACTGCATCAAGTTCGGGAAGATGAGGCACTACCAGCTGGAAGGCCTAAACTGGATGATTCGCCTCAACGACAACGGCATCAACGGTAGGGAGAGTAGTGTTGATCCACCAAGGGGCTGAGTTCGACGGCACTCATGTCACGCCGGTGTCGCATGGAGGCTGAAGTGTCGCTGGTTTTTGATCGAATCTCAAGTGTTGAACTTTGCTGGCGCGTGTTGGCATGTTGTGGCATGGACTACACTACCGTCCAAAACGAACTAAATTGAAAAGACGGAGAGCAGTATGTTTGCCGGCGTGAGAAGAAACGATCTCTGATTGCGCAGCCGCGCCCGAGGGAGTGCGTGAGTGCGTCGTTTGTGTTTATTAGCGTAGCACCGACGACAACCTTGACGTGATGTGCTTCCCTCCCTCGAATCGCACCAGGTATCCTCGCGGACGAGATGGGTCTGGGCAAGACCCTGCAGAGCATCAGCGTTCTGGCCTACATGCACGAGTATAAGGGCGTCAGCGGCCCGCACATCATCCTCGTGCCCAAGAGCACGCTTTCCAACTGGCTCAACGAGCTGAAGCGCTGGTGCCCCGCGCTCCGCCCCCTCCGGTTCCACGGCACGCGGGCGAGTTTTTGACCAATCAGAGTGGCGTACACTTTACACGACTGAACACGGTTTGGATTTTTGCTAAGTTTAACATGTACAACACCGCTTCTTCGTTACTTTTTGTTTTTCGCTGTTGAACGAAGATCTGAACAAGCTAGGTATTGTTGCTCTTGTCCGGGCTGTGTTCATGTCGATGTGGTGGGGGCGAACCTGCTCCTCTGCTCGAGATGTGCGTGCGTGTGACGGAAGAGCGAAAGAACACCTCTTATCTAACAACCCTACCGCGGTGGTGCTTGGTGGTGGTGCGTACCGTTTTTCCAGGAGGAACGCGCGAGCCTTATCGAGGAGAGGCTGCGGGTGGGCCATAACGATCGCGATTGGGATGTGGTGAGTCGATTTGTCGACATGATAGCGCGCCTAGACGTCTGACAACACCCTTGTATGCATCAGTTGGTACTCCTTGCTTTGGGGTATTGATCACGTGCGTAGGTGGGCATCGTAACTGTTGGAGAAGTTCCTGGATTTGGGGGACTCATTCGCCGTTTTACGGTGTGTGCTCTCCGCCATTCGGGGGGCTTCTTGCGTGTTCGCGTGGGGGCGGGGGGGGGGGGNGCCGGGTTCTCACCGGACCAGGCTCTCACATCACCAAGCGCGAAGCGCCGTGAGATATTCGGCGAGTCGCATGAAGGGTGCGCTGCATCCTGCTAAGGATGTTCGGCATCTTGCGCTTACCCTTGCATACGAATGACAGCTGCGTATGACTTGATTCATTTTCTGGTGCTTTCACTTCCAGAGACTGTTGTAATCACTGTGTAACTGCCTCGAGGGTGCTTGACCATATTAACACAACGTGGTGCGATCATCCCCCTTGCGCGGAGTGAGGGCTCTCGACCCCGCACAACATGATCTACTCGACCGCCATTATGGTTACCGCCAAAAAAAAAACGGAGGTAAAACAAAAAACGGTAACCTGGTTGNTGTGGATTCGAGGGGGGTCATCGCCGTTTGTTGTTGACAGCTACGCTTACTTGCTCCTGTTTTTATTTCGCTTTCTCGATCTCTCTCTCGCTCCTCCCTTGGTCCCTCGGTGCCTCCCGCCCCCTCCCGCCTGACGCATGCTTGCAGCTGATCACGACGTACGAGGTGGCGAACCTGGAAAAGCGGTCGCTGCAGAACATCGCCTGGCGCTATCTCATCATCGACGAGGCGCACAGGTGAAGGTTTATGTGTGTTTTGTGTCGTCTGCTTGCCCCCCCCGTCTGATGTGTCCTCAAATCATACCGAAGTGTCAAGACTGGTGTCCAGAACGTATGGGGGACGACACATACACACGGAGAGACCTACATTGTGTCATGTTCTTTGTCGGCGGTAAGGCCTCTTCAGCATGCCTCTCAACTGGAACCCAGAAAAGGGTCGGCTGGCTGCTGGGGCTACGTTATGCGTCGTTACTGCCGCCCCCCTTCCCTTGTCTTTCACGTGTTCCCTCGACGGTCTCCTCCTCTTCGCTATCCTGGCCATTTTCCTTGTTTATGTTGGTATCTTGTACCCTAGCCAATACAGTACCTCATCGAACCTGTATATCTACACACACGACATTGGCTTAATGAAGAACAACCTGCGATGAAAATGACAACAACGTGGTCTGACTATTGATTGTGCTTGTACCGTCAAAGTGCGAGTGATCGCACATCGACATTTATAGACCGATCGATTGCTCGACAGCCAAGGTAGCGCATGGCACGTCGACAGAGCTAGGCCTGCGTTAGAGCCCTCGCCGTTTCGCCCTGGCACGCTATCAACACTCGCACTCGCGATCAAGTCACGGAGGAGCTGCGCGGCGTAATCCCCCTCTCCCCCTCTTCCTCCTCGTTCTCCCTGTCTTTGTCGTTTCATTGGTCCCCCGCCTTAACCTTAACCTTAACCTTATCCTTAACCATAACCTTACCTCACTTAGGCTGAAGAACGAAGCGTCGATGTTCAGTCAGACCGTGCGCAGCTTCAACATGCAGCACCGCCTGCTGCTCACCGGAACCCCTCTGCAGGTAAAGCAGCTTCTTCTTTCTTGGGCGTTTCGTTTTGCGTGGGTGTTCGGTCTTGAATTGCGTTCCCGGGCTGAACTAGTGTTTGTCATGTCTACCGGGGCAGAGTTGGTCCTGTTGTGTGTTGTGTTGTTTTCGTCGTTAGCCCTAAGTTTCCGTGGCGTTGTGACAAGCGAAGTCAATGTCTCGCTCATCGCTCTTTAGTGCGGTACCTCTCGCTGGCCCTCTTTCGTGTGTGTTCGCATTGGGCTCTCCTCGTGTTGGAAGCTCCTTGTTTGCTTGTCTTCGTGGGGTTAGTGAATGGGGGATGTCTGCCTGCTGTCGTTCTTGCTTGCAATCCTCGATCCCCCCCCTTCTTGCCCTTTTTATTCTCTTCCCGTCGTCGGAATTGTTGCCTCTTTTTCTTTTGAGTGTTTCGCGTTTTTTTCCTGCGTTGCTCGTTCATCCGTCGTCTAAGTTGTCTGTCTGTCTGGTTGTCTGTGCTTGTTTGCGTGATTTTGGCAGAACAACCTTCACGAGCTGTGGGCGTTGCTGAACTTCCTTCTCCCCGACGTTTTCAGCTCTTCCGAGCAGTTCGACGAGGTAATAACAAATAAACGTCAACTTACACCGCTTTTGGACAGTGCGGAGGACGGTTGAATTATCGACTTCAGGACCCACGTTCATGGTGACATCTCGAGCAGTTCGACCAGCTCATAACGATACCACCACACATGAAACATAACCACGTTAAGCAGGAGAATTAAAATATTCGTGACTAAATTCATCGTGACCCGATCCCGTTTTATTTCATCACACGGTTTCACGAAGCACGCCAAACAGCAGTATAATAGTAGCAGATTGCAGTATGTGTACCACTAGGCGAACGGCTATGAGGCCTGTCGGTACAATAAGATCAAGTTGTATCATTGTCGGTGCTGATACCTTTTTCATCCACGATCAATGAAATCAATGAATAACGGAGGATCCAGGGTAGGTTTCTTTCGCACAGACGACCAAACCATTTTCTTTTTTCATCAAAGCAACCAAGCAACTTCCAATTTTCTTGTTGCGATCGAGCGCTGCAGTGGTTCAACCTGGAGATCGACGACAAGGAGGCTAAGGAGAATATCATCCACCAGCTGCACAAGATCCTTCGGCCCTTCATGCTCCGGAGGCTGAAGGCGGACGTCGAGAAGAGCCTGCCCCCCAAGACGGAGACCATCCTCTACGTAGGCAAGTTTGTAGTGCGTGTTGCATCTCTTATCTCCAGCTCCCTGGCTCTCTAGTGCGTGGGTCATGTTTGTACGTACCTTATGCGATGCTAGGAAACATTCACCCCGGTCAACGCATATTGGATTCTGAATAGAGAATTTTATTTTCACCGGTTGTGGGATAGTCTATGTGGTTTTATCTGAGGATAGTTTTATGTTGGGTTCACATTGACGTGTAAAAACATACACCACCGGGTGTAGTATTATGTGTGGCGGTGTGTCCGGGCATTACTGTCATTTTCCTTCGACCGTGCTAGTCGGGCTAGTCGGGCCATCGTTTGAAAAGAACTCCGTCGTCAGCGGGACTAAAACCTATGGCGGCTTCTTGTCCGCGGGTGCCCCTGAGTGTCAATAAGAGTTACATACACATCCGAATGTAAGCTAACGAAAAGCGTACCTTGTAGTATACATCCGGTAAATGAGTCACAGGACCGCGTTTCCACCGCCAGCCACGGCTACGGGAGTACGTACTCCTTCTAGAATACCGCAACAGAAGGCGCGCTTTCCAGCGTGCCGGTGCATATCGACGCTGCTGTGATGTGGCCGGGCCTGTCAATAGAACGACGACGTTCGGGGCGTTTCAGTCTTGGCCTTGACGAGCGCTGTGTGCCCCTCTTCCCGCCGTTGCCTCCCGCCATCGATGAAACAAAAAAAACCCGATATATATACGTATCAACAAACGATCCCAATCAAGCAGGGCTGTCCTCCAAGCAGAAGGAAGTCTACAGAAACGTCCTCCTGCGAGACATCGACATGGTCAACGGAACTGGGGGAGGCGGCAACGCGGGGCGGACGGTGATTCTGAACATCGTCATGCAGCTGCGAAAGTGCTGCAACCATCCCTACCTGTTCGCGGGGGTGGAAGACCGGAAGCTCGATCCCCTGGGGGACCACCTCATCATCAACTGCGGCAAGGTGAACTTGTGTGTGTTCTTGTGGTTTTATTATTAGCATCGACTGCGCTAGCCGGCCGACCATTGAAAAGACGTCAAGTCTCAGTGCGATTGAGAGCAGAAAACGCTTCTAAAGGCCGTTGATCTGGGACCCCGTGAGGGGGGGTCCACGAGCATCGACCCTCGCTAACCGGGTGACCAATGAGAAGACGAGAAGATGTTGTCTCTGAAAAAATAAACTCAAAAGTGTATGTGTTTCTTGTTGAACCAGCATTGACCAGGCTACTCGGCTTGCCAATGGAACCACGTTGGCCTTTTTAAGCAAATATTAAAGCGAAGGTTTTGTGTGAGTGGCTCCCATGTGTCTTATGTTTCTTTGACTAGCATTGACGAGGCTACCCGGCTTGCCAATGGCAAGATGTGAAGTCATAAAACAATAAAAGAGAACACGGATGAACGCTTTCGAGTCCGCGGCCTCATCGACAGGTTGGTCCCGCAGGAGCTTGATCCCGTGTCTGGTTTAAGAATCCTTGTCACAACAAAAAGCGATTGTAAGATAAGACAATCACTACTGGAATCCTGTTGTCCGTCTTCTTTTCATTATTTTGACGGCGCGCTCTCTCTGTCTCCCTCTGTATGTCTGTCGCTCTCTCTCTCTCTCTCTCTCCCTGTTGGTTCGGTTGGGGTCGCCCAGATGGTGCTGCTGGACAAGCTTCTCAAGAAGCTCTTCGACAAGGGGCACCGTGTCCTCATCTTCACACAGATGACCAAGATGTTGGACATTTTCGAGGACTTCTGCGTGATGCGGCGCTACGAGTACTGCCGGATCGACGGCAACACTTCCT